ACACTCCTGCCTGTCTTGGTGTCATCTGCAATACTTTGCTCTCCTCCAGTTCCAAAGGACTGTGAGTTGCCTTATTCATTCTCCCCACCCCATTTTGCAGGGGGAGCAGTGCCGTGCATCCCTGAACGCCCACCCAGGTTGTTTGACACCAGTCCTTATGGAGATATGCCATGCTTTTGGGTCTGGGCAGTTAGCAGGGTTGATGCTAAAGATGGAGCTGCTGCCCAAGTCAGGTTTCCTTTTGCTTGGTTCTGGGGAAGAAGAAGGCCACCTCCTGCAGCAGGTTGTAGCGTGCTAGGGGTTCTTCTTGTGTTGTGATCCTCTACCTCCAGGTGAAGCCATGTTCTTCCTCAGCACTGAAGGTCAGCGCTTCCTTTCTTGGCGGGAGACCTGTTGGTGCCCTCATTAGTTGCTGTAATTGAATAGTGGCTTTCTTGGGTGTTACTTAAGCAATATCCAAGCTAAAGTCACAGTTGCCTTGTGCTGACAACATTGATCTTTTCAGTTCAATTGAAGACACCTTTCCTTTACCAGGATTTTAAACTATGAAAATCTTTAGTTAAGACCTGAGTAATTCGTTACTTGAATTTAATTTGTTGGGTTTTCTTAAGTGTGCTTAGGTGGTGGGGCACGGTGATGCTGTAATACTCCAGCAGTTTCTAATTGCATTGGCTTTGATGTTTGTTGGCCAGTATGAGCAGTGGGATGGGATGATATCGGAGCCATTCTCCAGCAAGGTGCAGTTTTATTTGGACCTTGGAGCCCCAGCTTCATCACTGGGGCTGTGGTTGGAGCACTTTGGACCCTGGGGTGCGGGCCCCCTGCACCCATAAAATCACAGCTTTTGAGGTGGAGGCAATAAGCAGCCGAAGATGGGTTGGGTTGTGCTGTGCTGGGAGGGATCTGGGACTCACTGTGGTGAAGCTGTTGGTAGGACAGGAGGGGACAACTGCATGCAGGTCAGAAGTTACCCATTGTGTGCCACCATGAGCTGAGGGTCATTACATGTCTGTGACAACAGCCAAATGTACTTCGTAACACTTGGTCCCTAGGAGTCATAAAATCACAGAATTGTAAGGATTGGAAGGGACCTCAGGAGATCATCTAGTCCAACCCCCAAAATCTCATGTTTTGGTTTGCAGCAACTTTCCTGTCTGTTTTCCTCTGGAAAACAACATTCCCTTCACCGTGTCAAGGGAAAAGAAAGTTTGGCCCTTATTTTTGGAGGCCCTTATTCCCCATGTGTGACAGAGAGGTGTTTCCAACCTTGAGCCCGGCTCCCATCGGCGTGTTCTAAGCGGGTGGCTTGCTCATTTTGCCTGTCTGAGATGGCTGGCAGCTACATGTGCTGCTTTATTTCCCACAGGCTCCTGCTTCTGGGTCGCCGTCCTGGACGGCAACGTGGTGGGGATCGTGGCAGCTCGGGGCAACGAGGAGGACAACACGGTGGAGCTGCGCCGCATGTCCGTCGACTCCAACTACCGCGGCAAAGGGATTGCCAAGGCCCTGGGCCGCAAAGTGCTGGAATTTGCCATGCTCAACAACTATTCCTCCGTCGTGCTGGGAACCACGGCCGTGAAGATGGCATCCCACAAGCTCTACGAGTCCTTGGGGTTCAAGCACATGGGTGTTGTTGAACATTATGCCCTGCCGGGGATGACACGCTCCTTACTGGAGAGAATGTTTTTCCAGGTCCGCTACCACCGCTACCGCCTGCAGCTGCGGGAAGAATAAAAAAAACCCAACCAACCAAATGAAAAAAAATAAAAAAAATTGTTTTCCTCCTCTTCCCCCTTCAAAAATAATGAATTGCCCTTCTAATTCTTGTCACTGTTGATTTTCCACTTTTGGGTTGAGTTTTTGTTCCCTCATGTCATGTTTTGGTTTGCTCCGTGCAGCTCGATCGCCCGGCCGAGCCGCGCTCCTTCCTCGCGTGCTGCAGGTGGTGGTGCTGGCAGCCCTGCGACCCGGGGGAGCGGAGCAGAGCGAAGCGAAGCAAAGCGGTGGCCTCTCCTTCCCAGGTACCTCCGTAAAGCACAGAAACTTTAACTGCAAAATAGTACCACTGCTCTGATGTACATAGTCTTCTCCTTTTCCAAATGTAAGATAACATAGTGATGCATTCGTAATAGTGCAGAAATATTACTTGAATGCAGTTTTCAGTATTTCATGCACCAGTAAGTAGAATATACATTTGTCTTACTGTTATTTACTGGTTAATAGTTTTCAAAGAAAAGGTGGGGGGCAAACCCCCCTCCCTTGCCCCCAACCCGCTTGCTACAATGCATGAAGAGGAAAGCGCGTGCACGCACTCGCACACATCGCACTGCCGCCACGGCACTGGTGTTGCACTTTTTTTTGGATGTGCCTCATCCTGCCAAATGTCTGAGAGACCCTGGGTGCATCCGGTAACCATGACTCCGCTCCATTCCCGCCCTCCTTCCTAAGCCAGCACAGACTCGGACCGGCTGAACTCTGAGCCCCGTTGTACCATAGCGTGAAGTTAAGATCAAACCTAAGTATCTCCTGCGCTGTTCCGTAGCCACGCGTAACCTGCAGTCCTGGGCCAGACTCCGCATGTGCGTTGGGACTGTCTCCTTGCTGCCTTTTGGGGTTTTTTGTTTGTTTGTTTGTTTGTTTCTTTAATTTTATTTTTAAGGGGGTTTTTTATGTTGTCGTTGTTGTTATTATTTTTAGTTTTGGCTTTTGCTGAATGGTGTCATTGAGGCGTAATGGAGGCTGCCGTTCCTATGGCAACGCATTTGCACATTAATGTGCACACCAAATCTAACCACTTCAGAGAAGCAACGTGTGACAGATAATAGCATTTTGGGGAGTGGCGGGGTGGGGGGGAAGTGTACTTATTATCTTAACCAACTGCTTGTTTGATAAATGTAGATGGCCTCACTGCAGCCTTCCATCAAAGGTAATTAACTGCTTTAATGATGTCAGATTTGTGAATTGTACAATGCAAAAAGCAATGCAAAGCAGATTCGGCATGTGTCTGTACCCGGTATGTATGTACAGTGCCTGCCAACTAAAGAATAACCAAGACTTACAGCTTCTTCTAGCCTGAGATATCAACTTTTATAACTTATTTAAACAAATAGCAACTTTGCATGAATTACATCTTGGGGGAAAAAGAAGATCAGTAGGTTTTAATTTTTAAAATGTGGTATCAGAAGGATAAAGAAAACCATTTCTGGCTGCACTTAATTTGGGGTGGGTGGAGGGGTTCAGCTATGTTAATACATTTAAAGGGAAAACCCCTTTAATTTAGTTCCGGGGGAGGGGGGGGAAGTTACTGTTTTATGAAGTATTATGCGTGTGTAGGGGGAGAAAAAAAAAGCCACCTATCAAGATGAACTTGATGGAAGGGTAGAGTGAGTGTTAACCACGCTTGCACTTACAAATGTAACAGAAGCATCAGCAGGAGAGTCCCGGCAGGGAGGTGGCGTGGGGCACACAGCGGGGAGCAGCCGTGGGGTGGTCGGGACCCACGTGGCATGGACCCACGCGTGGGTTGCTGCCTGCGTCTCGCTCCTGCTGAGAGCTGCCCTTTCCTCTCCAGCCAAAAGCTTTCCCAGCACTGAGACATGACCAGTGGCACTGAATCCCATCCTCGCTGGGGCCCCGGACCCGGCACCGATTCCAGGGATGGAGGGAGGAGCCGTTTGGTGCAGCCCTGGTTCCACGCTCGGTGCTGGGCTCAGGCGCGGTCCAGCCCATGAGGAGCCGGAGGGACAGAGTCCCTGTGTTTGTCCCAGCAATAAGGGCGGGGAGATGAGGATGGTGAAGGGCACTGTAGCAAGAGACCGTGAGTTTAATTAACAAAATTTCTGTATGGGGCACTATATTTTTAAAAGTCTTTCTATGCTGTACATTTCTCCTGAAGCTGAAATAATGTACTATTGGTAGGGGTTTTTGTATAGTGTACAGAAATTGGCAGAATATTTTCTTGCTGCATTCAGTGATTTATTAACCGAAGTAAAATAGACAAATATAAAGTGTTAGCAAAAGTTGAAAGAAAAAAAAAAAAACCAACACAAAACAGTTTGTGCCTTTTTTAGTTTATTTTTCTGTTGCTATATAATCACTGCACTAAAACCTTTCCAGAGGGGAAAAAAAACAAAAAACAAAACTAGTCTCTTAATAAGGGAGGAATACATAAAGCCTAAATTGAGTGTTAATTTTTTTATTGGGATATTTAATTAAAAGAATGTTGCTGGTTTTATTTGATACCTGTGCCTTTGTAATAAAACTCCACATCTTGTCAGAAAAGCCAAACCTGGAATAAATCCCACCAGATCCCACAGACACAGAAGTACCATCAGGTTACCAGTATTTTCTTTAAAAACATGTAAACCTTAACTAATGCTATTACAGTATCTGATCGTAATACCTGTTGACTTTCCTGGGAAGGAGATGCTTCGGGAAGGTGCTGCTTTGGGGGTGCTCTCTGCATTCCTCCCCAGGCACACTGGTGCCGGAGGTGCACCGATAAGGATTGAGTCATTGCCATTTGGCCGGTAGCTGCTGAGCAAATTTCTTCCCTTAACACTTCTGCCAGTTGCTTTGTGACCAGGCTCTTTGGAAAACATCCAGCTGGTTGCTCCCAGCTCTCCAGCCAGGACAGCTCATTTCTGAAGGAAAGGGCTGACTGCCAGAGAGGCTGGGTTTTGCTTTCCTCGGAAGATGGAGAGGGCTGGCAGGTGAAACACCACTGATCCCAGCTCTGGGTTTCATTGAGAAGCCCATGTGGCTGCCAGAGCTGCATCCCTGGTAGCAGCAGCGGGACAGGGGTATAGGACCTTCAGTGTTGCTGCTGCTTTCCTACCCAGAGCTCCTCTGAATAGGATTAGACAAGGTTGGGCTATCACCAGGTGATACTGTCGTTTCATCTGCATTCATGGGAAGTTTCCCTAGATGTGATAGCTCGGACTGAGCTCTGGAGACAGAAAGCTTCTTCCCACTGCTCTGTGTGGTCCCTGGGCTCTGGACCATGCTGGGCTCACCTACTGCCCTACTCAAGGTCCACCCTGCCTTGCTGTCACTGCCTGGGCCAGCATGCTGGTAGACCACAGTGCAGTTCATGGGGTGATATATTGAGGCTGAACTGCCTTTGGTGGATCCATCCATCCACTGTGCCTCATTCAGGGTGCACTGGTTTAAACAGCATTGCATGGAAAAGTAAGATCCCACAGCTTGTGCCTCCCAGTATTGGTTTTGCAGCCCACTTTAGGGAGCTTCTTGCTTCTCCTGCACCAGATAGCCCTGGTCAGCACAGCCCTGCATTGGAACTGTCGCCATGCCCCTTTCTCGGAGCTTGAGTGTCACCTCCTGACTGCTTCCATCCCAGTTCAGCATCTGAGTTGTGCAGAGCAGCACAAGATGGTTGTGGGTTTGGTCCTGAGCAGAACAACTTGTGTTCTGGACCTACTGCCATAAACCTGTTGAGAGCCTATTGCCAGCTGTCAGATCTAATTCCAACAGAGAGTCCTATCAGTATGAGGTGGTAGGGGATGCCACTAGTTTATTTTGGTGGTTTCTCCTTCCAAGGACACTTCTAGCCAGAGTGTGGGGAAGAGTGGAGCATCTCTTGGGTCTTAGCCTCAGTTGGTAAACGTGATGGATAGGAAAACTACTGTAGATTTAGGTGGAGGATGTGTTGGAGATGTGAAGGAGCTTCCTTCCCCCAGCTGTGCCAGGTGCCTGCTTTTACTTTGCTGTGCTCATGTGTTGTCGCGACCCCCTGCCCGTCGCTGTGTGCCATGCGGTGGGACTGAGGATGCGGTGTCCTCACCTGGCAGCTCTCTCCTTACCATTGTGTTTTTTTCTGCTAATCCCTGTGCAGTAGGCACTGCTCAAATGTCATCTGCTTGGAAGGGACTGGGGCAGAGCCCTTGCTCACTGGGGAAGGCACCTTCTAGGGTGTGATGTCCACCTAGGGGGGTCTCTCTTTAAAAAAAAAAAATAATTAAAAAGGGGGGGAAACTTTGCATTGCCATGGCTGAAGTGCACAGCCTCAGGGCTACCCCAGCCTCCGGTGCAGCCTGGGCCATTCCCTGCAGAATGAGTGGGAACGCCCTGCACATCCTGAGCAAACTGGCATCTCCAGCAGACGTAATATTTGGCAATAAGCTCTGTGGGAAGCTTGGCCCCTGAATAGTCCCAGGCCAATAATGCTGAGCAATCAAAGCAACAAGGAAAGTGGTTTCTAATCTTACTTGAAACCCTTGAACTGGTATTTGTTGTAAAATCACGCTGTGTTTTCCGTCCATGAAGCAGAAAGCATCTGCAAGATGCTTAGAGATGGCAGCTGTAATTCACCTCTGCTGGCAGATGCCCTTCACAGCACTTCTTGCCACAGAGAAGTTTTGGGCACTGCCACCAGCCCAAAGCCGTTCATTCCCCTGCCTCGCTGTTACCATGTGTTACGTGGGACAGTATTTCTGAGAAGCTTTTACCTCTCCCTGGACGTGCTGCAGGCTGTGCCCATGCACAAGACATCCCTCCTTGGGGAGGAGAGACGCGTGGCCGCAGGGTACCTTGACTGGGGGACTTTTCAGTTTGGCCGTTGGGGAAGGAGGTTGCTGGCAGCAGTCAACTGTTGGGGAGAAGCAGGCTTAGGCTGGTGGGCAGCATGGTTCCACCATGAAGCTTGTTCTAACAGCTGTTTGTTGGGAGCGAGATGAGTTTGATGGCACTGTAAGGAGGCTGTAAGGCTGCTCTGTGCCCTGCAGGGCTGAGGTGCAGTAGCTGCACAG